TTAAATCCCCAGATTAAATTTATAAGGAAATCTATAGCAGCTGAAAGGGTAAATTGTTAAGGAGTTTGGAAGTTCAACCTTTTGTAACCTGACATAACTTGTTAATTAACCTTAATTGTTTCTTTCTCTTTCAGGTTTCCCTGGTGAGACTAAACTTAATTAAATTTGAATTATTCTCGAGGGTGGGGTTGGGACAATATTCCATTGTACGTGTACGTCAGATAATTGGTGCATGAAATGGAAAAATTAAAGCAATATCAAAGTAAGAAAAATGTTAGAAAATTAATCCTAAAGATGGATCCATTAATTAGAATGCATTGTAAACACATGTATTTAGTTATTGTTTCAAATCAAAGTTGCCTGAAATGGACTTGAATATCAAGCTGGAAAACTGATTCTTCTTCATTTGAAAACTGACTTATACTTCTTGAGTATTTCTATTAGTACATTTTAGATCAATGCATTCTAAGAGAAATTCTACTCTAAGCTTTATCATAAGGTATTGCTGGATTCATGTCTTTTATGAATACTAAGCATATTCTATTACAGCCTTCTGTTTCTATTTTGGCATAAATCTGTTTTACATATTGGCAGATCAATTTTAATTGAATAGTCACCTTGCATAATGAACCAATATTCTCTGGTTTTCTGATGAAATTTTCAATCAGAATTAGCCTCAATTTCCAATCAAATTTTTCCGTATATGGCTAAGTGCAGTGCTAGGACAACAAATTTTTTATACCAATATTGCATGTATTGTGCTTTCTTCACAGTGAGGTGTGTGTTTTATTCATGCTGCATATACTGAAAATGGAGCTGCCAAGACAATAAAAAAGAAATTCTAACAGTATTTACAGGGGCCAACCTCACATCCAAGATCTCTTGCCATCTGGAGCAAGCAGGGGAGAGTGGGTGAGATGGAGAGAGACCCTGGGAAAGAGGTTGTTGAAGAACTGTAGCCCAGGCTCAATATGTTCAGGCGCAGCCTGGGAGCCTGAGTCAAGTACATCAAGTTGGGGCTCACCTGTAAATGTTCCCTGTGTAAAATTTAATTCCTAAATCAGCCCCATAGCAACTCATGTGACACTTAATTGCCCTAATGCAAATCATTAAATTGCTTCACCAAACTATTGAGCATATTGCTTGAAATCATCAAGTTCTTTTAACAGGTGCCTCTCTTTTAACCTTAAAGGTTACCACACACCACTGCTGGATTATTTTTGCCAGTATCTTTTTTAATTTGATAAAATTAAAGTTAATACCTGAAATTTCCTTTTCCTGTGATATAAAGTCAAAATCTTTTTTTATTGAGAAAAGTTGTTTTCATGAAACAGTGGAAAATTAATCAGGATGGCATAATCACCATACGTAGTCTACTGGCCACAAAGGCCTGTGCACAATGATTCAAGCATGGTGGATCTATTGCATGGGTTTCAACATATGAGAATTCATACATTTTATGCTTGTAGAATGCACAAATTTACCCCTCCTAAAATAAAGCTTTGATCTTGAAATAGTTTAAGGTCATTAAACCTGACACAATTGTGATAGATCTGTTTTTCTTTTAAATCCACATGTTGTGTTCCCTATTGTGTAAAACAACTGGTTCATGGTCTAAGCTGTGCTTGTCTTGAGGTACGAGTTGAAAGGAGATCATTCAAGAAGCTAAAGTTGCTCTAGCCCATGCCTCAAGCATCTCTCTCCTCCTTTCCAAACTTCCCTCATACACTCATTACTGAATCTATGCAGGCACTTGATTTGATTATTATTGATATTTCTTGAAAAGAGCAAAACATTTTCACTCATGACTGAAGGAATAATTGAAAAGTCACTCAAAACTGAATCCTATGATTGAGACTGAAAAATATTTAGCTAGCAACAAAAATTAAACCTGGTAAATGTCATTCTGGTAATGTCAACACTGATGTTGCATGAAGACTTATGTAATGAGTAGTGATGTAAACTGTCACACTTAACCCTTTAACTCCCAAGATCTGGTTGTCCATTCTCCCCTCCAGCTGCTATACATTTCCTAGTAAGTAAGTTATGAAAACTTGGTGTTAGATCAAGGTAACAACTTCTACCTGATAAGTTTGAATATTATCATGACCTGTTTCTTGGGTAATGTTTAGATATTACAGGGAGACGTTACATGTCAATCACTTTTGGGAGTTAGAGGGTTAACAGAAGCTTGTATACAGAGAAAACCAGATGTCCTTCAGCAGCTATTTCATCAATAAGATAATCCCAATTTGTCACTTGCCTGCTCTTTCATTTGTACCCACTGACACTCAGTTTACTAACACACAAACAACTAAAACATTGTGTGTATCACTTTCAAGTTCACTGAAAATGGGGAGAGATTTCTGCATATCATTCTAAAACAAAGCCATAATCCCATAATAAAAGCAATGTACTGTTCTCTTAATCCAAGAACTGTATGCATAATGACTGTATGAGAACTGTATACATAATGAAGTATGGGGCTGTTAGGAAATTTTGCCGAAAAATGGCTATAAAGACCACACGATAATTGAACAAAATGTAAACTGTGCGAAAGTTCAAAAATTTATTTTAATTATTTCGGATATTGAAAAACAAAAAGCAATACTCGACGATTAGAAAGCCTGTGTTGTAAACTCAGCTCCAGTTAACATGTTTCCCTAGGTAAGAATACTAAATATGTGAATTTCCCGCCCAGTTAAAAAATCTGTGCATATAACATATCAGAGAGATCCGATCGAATTTTGTGTTTGCTTCGTAACTTAAACAAAGGAAGCAGAAATAAATCCAAACCAAAAAGAGTATCATGCAGTATTTGGGTAAGTAACCTTACCTCCGACTGGCAAATGATATGGAGCCACACGTGGTTTCCCCGTCAGAGTTTTTCAGCCACTTTGATGTAATTTTTTCCATCCAAACATCATCAAACTAAAAGCCAACATGTGCTGAAAGACAAGTGATGTTAAAGGTGCCGTTGGGGCAGCTTAGACAGCTTACTCCATCACTAACTAGAGCGGTCGATTTGTTTACGCCACCATATTGAATCTGCTTTTTCCAGTTAGTTCCCAGTGTTTTGCGTCTGACATGGCAAAACGCGCGCTTGAGGTCACGTTCCACGTGTAGTTGCAAGCGTTCAGTACAAGTTTAATTAAGCAGTACCGATATTGAATACTGAGATTTAAGATACTAGATAGATCGTGTATTGATCAAGAGAGGATATTCCTGCCTCTCTAAATCGTGCCATTCCTGAATTTTTTAATGATAATAAAGGGGAAAACTATTGTCAGGGATGCTCAAAAGAACGACTGTCTATGCAGAAATCTAAGGGCACCACGAAAGGTCTCCCGATTGGTTAAGGTAAAACAAACCACGTTGTATTTCAAGGACCAAAAACAATTACTGCTTCTGCTAGTTTACCTGTTTCGGTTCATCGCCTACGAGGCTGTGTTTTAGCTATAGAGACAATGCCCTTCTGAAGAGAAACTTAAGTTTGTTATCTCGAGTTGACTAAATCCTACAAGATTTAAGGTTCGAATTGGGAGAGTGAGTTCCTTAAAACAATGAGCAAAACGATGGCCATTGCAATACTTCATTTGTACATCTTGAGTTTCGACAGGAATACATTAATATGTACATGATTGCCTGTTTGCTTGTTCCTGTTATTCGACCCTGATAGAATTCCAAACTAGCTGACTTGCACAGGCACAGTTAAAAATGATAAAAATCAGCCGGTATGAATAAAGCATCAGGGGATTTTGTTCTTCATGAAAATCTAAAAAAATGGCGCTAATGATTACAATCTGTCAATTTGTTTTACCTGCAAATCCAAAGGTTACGAAACATGCCGTTGCTTCCAATATTTTGCATAAAAAAGTCTTGAAATACACATTTTAAGCCTATGATAAGCGATGACGTGAATTCTCGAAAAACCTTCACACTACCTCTGCCGCCCGCCTCTTCCATTCACTTAGATTGACTGAAACAAAGAGAAAGCAGCTAACCATATGAATAATTACGAAAGTGTAAAAGGTTGTGGTATACAAACAATCGATTAATGGTTTAATAATCGAAAGTTCTTCGCGTTCTCTCATTGTTTTAGCTCCACATCTTGTCGAGGCCAATGCAGGTCGGTGGACTCCGTAATTGAACACTGGATCTCTTAGATACATTTGGACGAACTGAAGTCTGGTTGTTTTCTAGAAGTTTCTGAATGGAAACATATTAGATGAACGTAGGACGTATATTACAAAGACACTCAGGGTCTTTAAAAGGATGGAGTCAAGGGGTTATCACATACTCAAGTGTTTTTGCCATTTTTTTTCTACTCGTGATTACCTATCTATATGCATATCACGCTCACTGAAAGAATTTAGAGGCCTGCGCGTGTACAATCCACAGTACTTCACACGACGATTTGGGCTGAATAATTCACAGCACGACGAGCTGCAGTGACTCCTCTCTAGTAATTTGTAACTCCTTCACATTTCCGTGGAAATAAGTGAGGTACTATTCACTCTTATTTGAATAATATAAAGTTCTTTTCACAGCAAATATCCTCCAGGAATTGGTGTCTACTTTCTGGATGATTCCTTTGTGAGAATTATTAGCATGTTTTAGTTTGAAAATCCGACGCCCTTCTCCACAATTGCTGTTGAAAGTAAAGGAAGTCAATATCTATTCGCAAAGAAGATTTGTTCCATCATCAACCGTCGGTAATGGGCGTCCCCTCTCTCAACCCAGAACATTGCTTAAAACCTCCCTGGGATTAAGACATTCTGCGTAGCTCATTTGAAGATGCTAAAAACATCAAATGAATGAACTATTCAGACTCTTGGATCTAAAGAATTGTTGGCGAAAACTCTCCCTTGCTTTGGTACTGCTAATATTGTTATCCTTAAGGAAAAATGTAAATGATTTACATTTAATAAATTATAATCTCAACAAGACACAGGTGTGACCTCTGCACGTTTCAAGTAAAGAGCAAGACCACGTTATTAGCCCTTAAGGTATTGGCAGAAAGTTTTGACGCATAAGTTCTAGAAAATTTCCACTCAGGTTTTTAATCTAAGCTAAGTTTTACAAGTTCTATAAAAGGTACTTCAGTAGCCAGCTCTTGAAAAATCTTGAAAACAAAGCACGATCAATGCAAGGTTAAATTAATCGGTGGCTGAAAACTATCATATCAAGAACGAGGTATTAAATTTTTTAGCAGGCTTTATCTTAAACCTTAGCTTGTTACCAAGGGTAAATTGGAAAAAATTTAACATGCAAAAAAACCTAAAAATAGAAAAAAATTCGGTTAAACTGAAAAATGTATGATTAAACGTTTCCTAAAATGTTCGAACTAGAATTAAAGTCAAGCACAGGAGCGGAAAGGACAAGGGAATTTAGATTGGCTTTGCTCTAGTATCAGAGTACTTTTCACAGAGATTACTCTCCTGTGGAATGTAATGGAATGAAACCTTTTCCAGTAAGAATAAAATTTGGTCTCAGAAATGTGATAAGGAGCCAGTATCGTCTGTCGTTGTCACATCATTGTGATGACAATGAAGATGCTTTTTTCCGAAATCAAAGGGGCCACGCCAATGAGAACCCTAGATTAACATCTCGAAGTTGCTGAACGTCTCTATTGAACAAGCCGAGAAAAGGACCACAAGAGAGAAAACTGGTTTCGAGGCATTGATTGAAGAAAAATTCAACAATGCTACTCTGGAGCAACAAGATTGCCAATTGGAGGAATATAATGGAACGTTTGCAGACTCATGTGGTGAGTGGTTTCATTATGAGACACACTGAGGGGAGAGCACGAAATACCGGCATATTAAAATTTCTTGGCTAAGTCACCCGGTTGGCTCGCTGAATCTTTCCTGCAGAACATACACCAAGGAGAGAGTTCCCGTTACAAGACCCTTTGATATCGTGTAGAGAAGTTCAACAAGCTATTGTGCAATATATCGATCACACAATCCTCCTCGCCATTCACGATACGCAGTCTATTTTTCAAGTTTTAGGTTTTAAAAAAGTCCATTAATGGCTACTAAGGCGGGAGTCTAACTTAGTCATAGTTTTCATAAAATTATAAAATTCTTCCATCTTTGAAAGCACTGTCTTCTAGCGCAGCAAAAAGCGATACAATACAACGCAATAGCCATAATCCACGTAGAGTCTACTAATTAATTTACTTGCGTCCTTACCTTGATGAATCAAGAAGACCAAAAAGTAACAAAGATTGAAATTGGAAAGTACTGCTTAATCAAAAGACACTGCACAACCATTAATAAAAACTAAGGTAAGTATGACGTCAAACTTTGAAAAACCTTCAGCCGTAATCCTCTGTATGCATGATATTCTCCTACCTTGACACCCAAATAAAATTCCTCGTAAAACATAAACGTAGTCTGACAAGGATTAACTCCACAAATTCTTCCATTCTAGCCTAATAGTTGAAACAGAAAGATCTACGATTCGAAGTCTGTGAAACGAAATTAAGGGCGTGATCTTTGGAAGGCCATTGAGCCAACTGTTACACTAAATACAATTCTCAACGAGTTTAAAGTTTTGTGTCCTCTGAACAAAAATGCACCGTAACTTTATGGTTATTGTGATAAGTGTCCGAGTGGTCGACTGACTCTACTTCTTCAGCTGGACATTGGAGAACTTGAAAATGAGACGATGGTTGGCAGGGTTGATTTTCAACATCCCACTTAAAAAAAAAAAAAAAAAAAAAAAGAGAGATAGGCAGAAAGAGGATTCAGTGCAGAGACAACCACTTCAAAACTGACTTGCAATCTAAATAAGACTTGGGAAATACTTTCTCCCTCCCAATCCACTGAAACCGTCCCAAACGGAGCATTAATTTTTTTTATAGTACATCCACAATAACCGCTGTCATGACGAAACAAACACATGTAAACGGGCCTGCGTCTTTCAATAGGATGACAAGCGCAAGAACAGTAATACTCAAAACCATTTGTTAAATGTAAGGTCAGAAAAGTTTCCAATCGTTCTCCCTGTGTTACACTTGTCATAAAACTCTTTTAATCCTGTGATGTCCTTACCTCTAGTATTGTTGATAAACTTTTACGGTTGGAAAAACAAAACCACTAGGGATCCCACCAGAGCTAAAATTCCGGTCGTCAATGCAAACACATGTCGTACATATTTGGTAACTGCATCGTTTGAGCTTGTTCTTAATCGAAAATAGGGAAAAAAAACTAACAATTATTCACTACTTAACGCTTTCATTCCATTTCAAAATCTGGCAAAAAAAGCCACGTCATACTGATAAAAAATAAAAAAAAGCAACTCATGATTACATCTTTATTCGAGTTTTCACCAAAGAAGCTGTCGTATGTAGCCATCATAGATGTATTAATTTAATGTTTTAGTTCTCAGCAAGGCAACATCACACTGACTTTCGCTTACCTTTCGTTTGGGTAAAATTCCAGTATACCAATTAAAATTAAACCGCTTGAAACTCTGGCGATCACATCGATAATGGCAAACACTGATCCACTGTTTTCCTGAAAGGAAATTGCTTCATCATGTTATTGAGCTCACAGACGAAAACATAACTGCTAACATACTCAATTTACTGTCGATAGCAATCCTCTATATGGTTGGTTTCGACAGCTCTCGCCTCTCAACCGATCACAAGCAAAACTGACACCGATTTCACATTGTTCAACGTTTTACCCTGTTTCAGGCAGTCTGCTCTTTTAAGTTACGTTCTCATTAGCTGCTTGCATATATTCCTTTTCTCTGGTAAGCCATTGTGATCACTTCTTTTTTTTTGTGCGACACTCAATCAAATTGCGACCTTATTTCAAATGCTTACTTACTGATCAACCGATTGGATGTTGCTGGTTGTATCGACCACCCTTCACGAGTTTAATTGTTTTAAAGCATATCGCAATTTGTTTTTAACGCTAACCTTACTATCCCCGATCAGCTCAATGATGAAGACAAGTGCCATGACATGCATAATGGACAAACCGCTCCCTATTATGACCACTGGTGCATAAGTTGACTGTTTGATGGAGATGGTTTGAAAATAGCTCCAAACAGCACCACCAATCACTAACAAACCCGCCAAAAGGTAGGTCCACTAGATGTGGAAATCAAGGAAAGTTTGCGGGTTAGTAAGACTCATTTAACAAAACAAGGCTTTTGTTAGTTCTGCCAAAAGAAAGAGACAAAGAAGAGAAAATGTCTCTGTAACAAGCGTCTTACACACTGCTTGGATGAGCAATGTCAAGTGAAGACTATCTTGTTTGTAAATAGGATAGGAGGGTTGGCGAGTTCTAAGCTTGTTAGCCAGTCTAGTTAACTTTATCAAAGCTATAAAAAGATCCCTTGATTCATTGATCCTTGTAAAGTTAAAAAAAAAACACCCACAAACGAATAAGCCGTTAGCAAATTTTGAACAGTCAAGGCGTTTTAGACAACACAAAAATAAATAAAATACGCTTCTGACTTGCCAGCCACAAAAGCTGTTAGTCTAGGATTCAAAATCGCAGTCCTACCTTACTCCCAATTTTGTTGTTTAGTTTGTTAGATGTTGAACTCGCTAGAGAGCCACTGATCAAGAGTATGAGTGGAAAATAGGCGGTAGATTCCTAATGCACAATAACAATAAAAACGTGATAATGTTACGATTATATTTTTCAATATGAAACCAAAAGTACAAATCACGTTGAAAAACAGGGTAAAGAAAAAAAGAGTAATTCATACCTTAGGAAATCGCAGTGTTTCTGTGAGGAAAAGCGGCAAATAGGTGGTCGTAAAGTCCTGTGCATGGCGTGTACATGCCAAAATAATAGCCACCTGAAAATGAAAAGATGAAGTAGAAGGAGAACAAATCATAATAATATAAATGCATCCAGCTAACCAGAAAAGTTGGAAAATCAAAGGTTTACCTTATACAATCCTGGATCCCTCAGCCAATCTTTGATTCGTTTTGGGGGTTTTCTCTGAGGTTCTTCATTTTTCAAAGGAATAGGGACGCCAAGTAGTTCGGGGTTTTCTCCTGCAGCTGACGAATCGTTTGTACTCTCAAAAGTTTCTATTCTTTCATCCTCTCTGCAACCTTGTTTTGGATAATTCTGAGTGCATACATCCAAACTCACTTTCTTCTCAGGCGTGTGATCAAGATTTAAATCCTGACGTTCGATCTCGTTCATTGACGGCTGCTCGGAAAATTCAGAAGAAAAGAAAGTTACAGACTTTTTTTGCTTTTCTTCTTTTGTATAACAAAAGCTCTTTATTCTGTCGCCATCATTTTCGTCATCTTCAAATCCAGAGTTGGAGAGACTATATTCACCAACATCTGGTAAATGCACGATTCCATGTTTTCTTTGGTTACGTTTGGTCCGAAATGATGTCCCTGGAATGTTTTCATTCTGGTCTTCTCCGTCATCTCTTACCTCCTCTCTACAATCCTGTTTCGGATAGTTCTGAGTAATGTCATCAAGACTGATTTTATTTTGGTCCTCTTTGTCAATTTCTGCCTCCTCGTTTCCATTTTTACCTTCAGGGGGACCCACCTCGTTGGTCACTGTCCATTCACCTTCCTCAGGGGAATTTTCGATCTTTCCTTGTCCAGCCTCCAAGAACTCTACACCAGTTACATATTCGTCTTCTTCACCGTCCTTTGCAATTTGATCCCCAGTAACATTAACACACGTTAATCGCACTCGCTCTTCCCGCTGTAATCCAAACATTAGTCCATCAAACACACGCATTAAGAGACTCCTCTTCCTTTCAGGATCTAGATGCTGCACTTCTGAAACCAATCGTCTTTTTAAATCCTCAATTTTTGGATTCTTTGTGGTATCCTCTGTGGCAGATTTTAACGGATCCTGATTTCGACCAGTGTCGTCAGTGTTCCCGTCAGAAAATAGAGCATTAACCATCGTCTGAAGTAGACTTCGTTTTCTTTTAGGCAATTCATGGCTCCTACTTTTTCCATCTCTCTCCATCTCACTTTGGTTTTCTT